AGGGAGAGATGGAGGAGACGGGACTGAAATCAAAGCAACCTAATGGCCTGCCCTGGAATTGATTTTTCAAATACCTCACTGATACCAAGCTATTAGTTTGTCATTTCTATCATTTTTATCCACCAAAGTACTATAAAAACATTCTGATTGTATTTTCTGATCATTCATTTAAGCTGTAGATTAAAAGGACTGTTCATTTTCATCTTTTGTCTCACGTCAACCAGTCCAGGTCCATGAATTCCAATGGACAATTCAGAATCTTCATCTCCCCACCCTTCTTCACATAACATGGCCCTCTAATTCAATGTTCTCAATGTGCAATAACAGATAGATGCAGTTTATTTCCTTAACCTGCCCTTGGTTTTTATTGTGCTGATTGAAGGACTCATAATGAGAGTTCACACAAAACTCTGCTCTCCCATAGCGCTGTACTGATAAGTAAAGGCGGTTCTCAAACAGGTAACTCTACGGATGGCTGAGTCAGTTTTGAGTAAGGGTAGCACAGAAGATAATAAACTTTATTTCTGTTGCTGCAAGTCCAGGGGTAAATGTTTGCCATTGAATGCAAGTGAAGATTTACATTTAGAGAAGGATGGTGGGAAGTGTGTATTGTCAGCAGTAATCTTCTCTCAGCTAGCATGACCTAAAAGGCCACTAAGCAGAGAGAAGGCATTAAGAGGGAAGATAATCATGCAAAGGGTAAAGGAATGGCTGCAATGTCTTATATAAAACATGCATTTTCTAAATAGAATGAGAAACAGCTTTGCTCAGATGTGATAAGTTCCCTTCTGGATTCTGGAAATATTCATTTTTACGTGTTCTACAGAGGAAAAGATCTAATACATCATCTAAAACCATTAATTCCATTCAACTATCAAATCTTCCTTTTGTGTACTGGAAAAAGCATTTTATTATATTGTGTTAATACTTTATGCCACTTTCCTCATGGTTTTGAGAGGATCACCTTTTGAAATATGACAGCAGAACTTGATAATGATGGAACATTGATGTGGCATCTAACAGCCAGGCAAGGGAACAAAGCAGCTTGCCCCAGTTTTCCACAACAACAACAAAAACCTTTCAAGTAGTCATTATTCACATAGAAATGTATTTGAATAAAGGTCTTGAAATTTAAAATTGCTGTGCCATGTTTGAGGCTGACTGGTAGGCTGAGTTTTATAAACCATCATGTCATAGAAGTCAAGGCCATGGCACAGGCTGTGCCCACACGCTGACTGCCATGTGTCCTGCCATGCTTATGTGAGAGCACTCAGAGATGAGAGCTGGTCAACTCTTCATTTATGGAGAATGGAGGCACGTGCTAGAGAGTACGCTTTTCTTCCAAAACATTGCCAGTACCTGTAATTCTTCTGCGAGAAGGAAAGCTTCCGTTCTTTAGAAGGGGTCCCAGGGCCATGGTGCTAAATAACTTGGAATCAGAGACCCCAGGTCTGTGCTGTCTATGTGGTTTCCCATTTTCCCCAACCCACTGAGCACATGGTGAGAGACTGTGCATCCCTCCTTCCCCACTTCACTAGGGGACTGCTTTTTTGTAGATTTCTTCCCAGATCAGGCTTTTATTACAAGAGAAAAACAGAAAGCTGGCTGACCACGAGCTAACACATTTCCACAGGTCTTCATTTATAATGTTTTGATCCAGCTGTCTCATTTTCCTTTCTCAAAAATCACCTTCTGAGGACAGTGATTCTGAGGGGAAAAAAAGCATCAAAATCCCCGTGTGGCTTTAGGTGTCACCTGAAATGAGAGTCTGCTGGCGCTGCCCCGAGACGGGTCAAGGCTATGCATTTAAGATGAAGTCTCTTTCTTCTTTTCCTCAAACCTTATCTGTTTGGGAGCAACAGCCCAAGAAGCATCATCTTGAAACACACTCATTTGATTTCATTTCCGCAGCACCAACTCCAGCCTCATTCCACACTGTCACAATGCCTAAACACATACAGCCTGGGTCATCCTGAGAATTATACAGCTACTATTAAATAAAACCCGAGAGAAAGAAGATATTCCCATTTTGGGAACCTCAATAAGGAAATGAGAATTAACATCCAAATTAAAATCCTTTCTAACAGTGCACACACTCTGTTGTTTCACAGCAGATGAAATAGTGAAATGAAATCTGTGTGGCTGTGATTTTACATTAAGAAGTACCCTGGAAATGATATTAAATCTATAATATTTGGGGGGAATATTTAAGGAAGATGATATTTAGTTGTGAAATGTCAAATAAGGGCACAAGTTTTCATTTCCTCGTTTTTTCCTATTTTTCCAAGGCCACTTAAAAGATCAGATGCTTTACCCAAACCTTCTGAGCCCCATTTCCTATAAACCACCTTGTCGACAGTTGAGGCTCATGGAGTTTTGGCTGAAAGGAGGCAATCTTCAGGAAGTTAAAACCTACTCTGGGAATATTTACCCTATAAAATGATATTAACAAGATTTCTGGTAGCCAGATGTGAGCTTTACCCCCTGAATTGCTGATATCAGAGCGACATTGTCTGTGCCTCCAGCCCCACCTCTAGCAAATGGTACCAATTTGGGTAGTAGAGAAGGTGGCTTTAGAAAAATTGGCCAACTTCAGCTGAATCTTTGACCTGTACCTGTCTAAACTGTAGGACTAAGACAGACTCTGAAAGTCCCTCTAGACTTTCTAGAAGGAACTATCTAACTACTGGCACTTTATTTGGGATGGCCTTTTATTATTCTCTAAGGATGATTATGGAAAATGTTATCACGTCTTAACTCAAGACCTCCTGGGGAAGTAGGAAAGGTAAGCATCACTGTTGTGCAAATGAGGTAAATGAAAGTTCAGGACTAAACTGTGGACTTGCCCAAAGCAAGTGGCAGATAGAAACTAATTACCCAAAGCATAATTTTTCTCTTCCTACCACAGTTGAGAAAACCAAGAACACAGTTCAGGCATGGATTCTAGTCACTTTTCCGTCACTGTCTAGCTGTGTACCCTGAGTAAATCACGATGTCTTTGCATGTCAGTTTTCTCATCTGCAAAATAGGAATGATTCCTGCTCTACCCGCCCTGCAAAGTAGTCATAAGGAACACACAAGATGCATAGTCTTTACCTTATCCGCCCATGCTAGAAAAGAAATGATGTTTACATTTGATCCTTCCTACTGAAACGTTAGGGAAATTGAAACCAGATGGTGTAAGGGGTGAGGGTGAGGAGAAGCCAAAAGCCCTTGCTTGTCTTCTAATTAGAGATGTGACTTTTGTCAAATAAATTAGCTTCTTTATTTTTCTGTTGCCTCTGCTACACTTAGGAGGTTGTACTGGAATATTTTAAATAGTTTTTCCCATCCAATCTGTGACGTTTCTATCCTAGTTTTCTTTTCTATGCTGCCTCTGCGACTCTTTGCTATATTCCCCAAAGATAAACGGCTGGAACATTTACGTGCTGTAAAAAGGCTAGGTATTGCCAAATCAGTGTAACACATTTGCAGTCCCACTGCGATTCTTCTTCTTTTTTTTTTTTTTTTTTCTCAAGGATGGTTAAGAACCTGTAGCAGCCTAATGGAATTAAAATCACCAGGCAATGCAAAATGAGGAGTAGGAGTCAAATTATTTTAAGAACTACTAAGACACCATCCCTAGCCTACTCAAGAACTCACTAGGACTCATTAGACTGCGTGTCACCCAACAGGGACAGCCCTCTTTGAAGTGTCCCCACTTTGACAAGGATCATTAGTGCTGTTCAGCTCCAGCCACAGTGGCAAATGTCAACCTCTACAGAAGTTAGTGCTTAATTAGATTTGAAGAACAGAAAGAAAAGGCAAGTTCTCCAGGTAAAATGCAGGGCAGAGTTTAGAAAGAGAAAGCTAGAGGCGGAGTGAATGTTTTCTTGTTAGTATTGCACCACAATGGAAGCAAGATTTAGAAATGTACAACTAGAGCTATACAGAGCTAGGAAGAACATCTTTTCTGGACTAGAGGAGACGTATCTATCAGACAGGAGGGATCTTCTTGTCTCGCAGCCTGAACACAGTGAAGTGCTTTTCTTTGCACTTAAAAGAAATGGTTCCCCCTCCACACCCCTTAAAACACAATACCCTACACTCACTCATCCATCCCCCTTTGTCCCCCACCACATACTAAACTCATTTTTTCTCAAACACTTTACAGTTCAGCATACTTCCATGTCTATTACGTTGGTCCATGCATAACACCATGAGAAGATGAAGCAGGTGCAGACCATTTTACAGATAAGAAAAGTGATGCTCAGAAAACTTAGGTAATTTGCCCAGTTTCCTAAAGATAACGGAAAACTCAGGACTCAAACCTAAGTCTCTTTAACAGCAAACCTGAAGTTAGATTCTCTATCATTCAGAGAGAATCTAACCTTTGTTCTTCTCCTTAACAAGCCTAAAGTTTTTAAATTAACTGCCTAAAGTATGTAAAACAAAGTACCTAGGTACATTTAAGAAAAAGAGTTACACAGAAATGGCACCTGATTTCAAGGAGATAGAATTTTTATAAACAAATCAGCATCTTATAAACATTCAGTAAAATGCAAACTCACACGTGCAGTGATTTTCCAAAGTGTGCTAGAGGGATTTACTGGTCAGGAATTATGATAATGAGCTGGAGAATGTATGGAATTAATTTTCTTGGGGAGGGAGGTTTGGAGCTAACTTTTGGTGTTCTCATCTCAGAGTATATACTTGGAGCATCTATTGAAATCGCAGCAGATGGAGCACATCATAAATGTATTTTTTCTTTTATTTTATCTTCAGTTCCTTGGAGAAACATGGTACCTAGGGTACTGTAGAACAGAAAATAAAAGTTTATTTTTATACGATCATTTGTAATATAAAGATACAAACATGACTGGCTCCTAAGAGAGTTATTTCATCTTGTTTCCTCCTTGGTGAGTTTTCTAATTAATCCCTAGTGAAATAAAAACCAAAAATGCAATTCAAATGTGATATTTTCTGAAGAATGCACTGAGTTGCTTTTTTTGTTTTTTCAGTGTCAATGCACACCTGATCCCCTGCTGCCTTTGAGAAACAAGAAGTTTTGTTGTGCTGATTTAACAGCCTGTGATTTCTGCAAACACGACCGTGAAAAAAAATGCCAATCTGTCCTGTGTAATCCCTGTGTGAAGTTTTGACTTTAATCTAACAGTTCATTCCTTCACCCTCCATAAAGATGTCTGAACCTGACACTTCCTCGGGGTTTTCAGGAAGTGTGGAGAATGGAACTTTTCTTGAGCTGTTTCCCACATCCCTGTCCACATCAGTGGACCCATCCTCAGGCCACCTGTCAAATGTCTACATCTATGTGTCCATATTCCTCAGCCTTTTAGCATTTTTGCTTTTGCTTTTAATCATTGCCCTCCAGAGGCTCAAAAATATCATCTCCTCCAGTTCCTCCTACCCAGAGTATCCAAGCGACGCTGGAAGTTCTTTCACCAATTTGGAAGTCTGCAGCATTTCCTCTCAGAGGTCCACTTTTTCAAACCTTTCATCCTGAGAAAAATGGAAGAGTCCTTGAGTGTGGTAGCAGCTCTGGCGTCCCCTTATGGAAGTGTCGTGTGAAGCGTTGCCTGATGAAAGAAATGACCCTTTTGATGTAGACCTGCTTCTTCTTCTCCTTTATCTTGATTTCTTTTCTATTCATGATGCTTTTCATTTGGGGATGGAGATGCTGATGCTGGTGGAAATGTGTGCAAAACCGAAGGTGCAGAGTTTCACACAAACGGCTTGCTGAATCTGGAGTGGTCTTCTTCGTGCAGGTCAGTTCATTCCACTTTGTTGGGTGCCGTAGATTCATCTGAGGCGGCCTCTCCGAGGATGCTGGACATGGACTCTTGCATTTCATTTCTTTTACAAAACCATGAAATCAACTGAGCCTGCAGAAACTGGAAAATCAAGTCTGACCTACGTAGAAGATATTTTCCATATTTAAAAGATAAAGTGGAGACACCAAATTTAAAAAGGAAGAGAGTCAATTTAGATTTACTGTATAGCATTTCTAAAACTGAGGGTAAATATATGCTAAACATTTTCTTTAATTTCAGTTTAACAAGTGAAAATCACACTTATTGATAAATGTAAGTCATTTGGAAAAGTTTTGGAAGAGTTTACATTTTAATAGCAAGACACACATGTATTATGATGCAGTCTGTAATGTATTTCTGCCTCCTGGAGTTTTATTTTGTTTTTCTGCTTATGTTTTAGTCATAATTCCCTAAAGTTGTGGAATTCTTTGTGATTAATTGCTGTTACTAGTACTAAGAGGAGCACCAGAAGAGATGCCAAGAAGTTTTTATATGAATAATTTCTATCAGTGAGAATTAAGCATATGGAAAATATTCATTTAGTTGTATTTTATACAGTAATAACTCTTAGCTGTCATGTAAGTTCCTTGATTCAGTTTCATAGTCTTTATAATTTTAGTGCAGAATTATATTAGGCCTCCAAGATGTCTGATATTTGTTCACTCACATTAGGTTGCCAAACTTAGAGACTAAATTAGAAATATATGTGTTATTATATACTCCACGAATGTCTCGTCTCTGATAATTAGTTGTTGTATGTTAAAATAATACTCTACATTAGGATTTCAGGATGTGAGTTTGTATTAAAAATTGTAGGCACTCAAGTTGTGTAGCTGCCGGGAGGGTTAGGGATCCTAGGAGCTGCTGTGCTACAGGCAGCCAGTTATGTCTGAACTTGGCTGGGGGGTGGGAGGGGCAGTCTGTGAAATTAGGCACACACGTGAGCTCTGACATTGAATGTGGGAGAACTCAAGCTGCCCCTAAAAACAAAACGAACTGCAGCTCCTTACGAGTAAGAATTTTAATTTAATTTTAAGAATAAATGGCCCACAGGGTAAACACTGAACTTACTCAACCTACAGAAGGCCACTGCATCAACATGCCACCATCTTCCCATAGCAACTGAATCATTCCTTGTTCAAAACATTTAATAATCTTAAGCAGTGAGGCTTCCACACATTCTTTGGTTGGATTGTGCAGTCAGCACTCTCCAGTGATTAGAATGGGGGAAAGAATACACTATTTGTACAGGGTTTATCTTTATCAGTCTAAAATGCTGAGAGAGTGGAGGTCTGGGAATGAAAATTAGAAGGCTGCTTCTTCTTTTATTCATAAGCCTCACTTAAATCAGACCACATTTAACTATTTATATACCAAAAATGTCCCCAAACATCATAAGACCAGAACAGAGTTGCTGCCCTAAAATGTATAATTAGTGAAAAATTTGCCTCTACTGTTTAAAGCATGGCAGTAGGTTGGGTGTTATTACGTAGTATAAAAACTGGACTAGATAAACTGCTATTTTAGCACATTATTAGCCTTCTCTGAGTGTATATATATATATATATGTGTGTGTATACACACACACACACACACACACACATATACACTCATATACTCCCAATTAAAAGTAGCGTGAAAGCTACACAGAATTACAGAGACATCTATATTATCACTTTTGCTCTTCGACTAATCCTGTGCTGTTTTGGTTATAGAGAGAAAAAAGGACATGGGTGGAGTGATTTTTTTTAAATAAAAGGACGAATTTGCCACACAACAGAACAATCTGAGTATGATCCGTCCTCAGGGTACCTTTTTATCCTTTCCTTGTGAAAGAGATACAAAGATATCTGACAACAAAACTACTTTAAAAATCAGATCAAATCAAATCCACAAGCACACTCCCATTCCTCCCCTGCTGTAATGGTTCTTGCTCTCAACGTTAAGTAGGGAAATTAAGAGCCACATTCAAAGATGTAAAACAGGATTTGTCATTAGAAGCTTGCCAAGGTAACAGATTGTACAAGTTGAGATGAATTCATGTTGTTTAAGAAGTTCAGAAAGGTTGGAAGATGGGTTTATAAATAAAGAAGTGGAGTCCATTGAAAGCCTGGTTCTTTGATTTTTTTTTCAGTGAGGTGATTTATAATCTCTTCTAGAGAAGAAGCTTTCCTTAGGAGTTTTAAGCACAAACCACACACACACACACACACACACAGGTATAGAGAGACATATATTTACATATAAATATATCACTCCTTCTCTGTACGTTCTCTCAGAAGCAGGGTCAGTGATGTGTGACCCAAATGTCAGCCTCTCTCCAGCCCTGCAAGGGTCACCTCCCTCTGGGACAGTGAGTCCCACATTTCTCTGATGAAAAGAATAATCTGGGTGCTTTGACAATATAGAGGATCCCACACCACACCCCAGACCTTCAGGAGTGGAACCAGGGTGTTTCTGGATATTTTTAACAAGGACTCCAGTGGATACTGATGATCAGCGGGACACACTGTGGCCAGGAAAGGATCACGTGTATTGTGCTTAGGTATTTGCAGAGAACAGGGGTCTTACCTCTCAGCCACTGCCCTTGTAACTGCAGTTGCTCCAAGCTGAGCATCCCCCGCACAGCTCAAAACCCTCACTGGGACCTACTTTCCTGCTTGAGTCTGAATCCAGCCACCCTCTTCCTTAATGGAAAGCTGCTGCTATTGGAATAAACTTGGTGAAAGAGGGAAATGCAAAAAGCCACATCTCTCGTGCCATCTCTGAATTGCCCGCAAGATGATATGCACGTAATAGACTAGGTTTGAGGACTGGGGGTAGCTGATGGGATTTATAAGATGAGAGAAAATGTTTTACATTGAGTACTAAGTAAGACTATTTCCACAGTCCAAAGGAAAACAACAGCAACGAAGAAAACGTTATCTAGGAGAAGTGCCAGTTCCTTAACTTGCTCCCCTGTCTTGAAGTCTGCTTCCCACCCCTCTGAGAGAGGCTCCCACTTCAACCCAATGCCAGGTCCCACTCTCTCACTCTCTGTTAGAAAGTCCCCTGGTATACGTTCCTATCAGTCCAACACCCTGGACCTAAGACTTCCGAGACCCTTAGTTATTCAAGAGAGAATACTCCCAGGCCGCAAGTGGGTGGGTATGGTATGGGCGAGGTCCATGTAGCAGAGGAGTTCAGGTAGGCTCTGGATCTCCGGGACCAGCTCTCTGCAGTATCTCTCCATCACTGAGGGGACAACTGTGCTTCTCCTGCTTCCTGGTTATCCAGCCAGACCCAGCATGCATCTGTGTGCATGAACACACATACACAGACACACAGAAACTCACAGACATACACTCTCCTTCACCCACACATGCACCATCCAAGAACAAATAATAATCCCCAGCGTTCGAAGACAGCACCTCAGTTTTCAAAGTCTGCTTACTTCAGTTTCACCCTGCCTTCAACAGTGAGCTAAGCACAGTAATTCCTTCTCACTCATCCTTCTCCTTCAAAGCAATGCCTAAACATCTGCAGAGACCTCATCAAACCATTGCACGTACTGTATAGCTTTTCTTTATCTTGAATTGGGTCCACTCTGAGTTAGGGTGTTTGGACACCCTGGACACTATAATAAGACATTATTATCAATGGGAATTTATTAAATAAATGAATGCATGTGGTGTTTGGTTTTCTGTTCCTGTGTTAGTTACTGAGGATAATGGCTTCCAGCTCCATCCATGTCCAGGCAAAGGACATGATCTCATTCTTTTTGTAGCTGCATAGTATTCCATGGTGTATGTGTAGCACATTTTCTTTACCCAGTCTATCATTGATGGGCATTTGGGTTGATTCATTACCTATGTAACAAACCTGCACATCCTCCACATGCAACCCAGAACTTAAAATAAAAATTAAAATTTTAAAAATAAAATAAATGAATACATCCTTTGTCACTAGATAAAACAGAGAGACATAGTTCTTGCCCTCATGCAGCTTATAATCTAGTAAGGAAGGTACAAAAAGAAATGAATAAACAATATGTATAACTGCTATTGCAATTAGCACTATGAAGAGAATAAAATTGTAAAATAATAAACAACAAGGGAAACTCACCAGACGTGGTGGTCAAAGAGGGCCTTCCAGATGAGATCATAGTATTTGAAGGGTATTGGGGAGAGTCTTCTCCACAAAGGGATAGAGTCTACAAAGACCTATGGCAGGAAAGGGCTAGGCTTGTGAACTAAAATGTCAGAGTGCTGGGGCGCAGAGTGTCATGTTGCGGGGGGGCAGGATAGGTTATGCAGGAACTGGTAGATTAGAGTAGTAACTTGGATTTTATTTGGAGTATGACAAGAATCCATTGAAGGATTTTGAACAGGTAAGTTATATAATTGAATTTTTGCTTCAGAAACATGACTGTAGATGCTTTGTAGAAAATAAACCAGCGATGGACAAAAAGTCCTATTCAGATCCACCCTGGGTGGGGTATGGGAGTGGGTGGAGAGTTGTTCTCCCAGCTACAAATATCTGTTCATCTTCTAGCCATGGAAACGGCCTGAGCTGAGAATGAGTATTGCCACACACCCTCCTCCTTCCTCCTCCCATTTCCACCACGCACTCACCTCCCTCTCTCTCTCTCCTGGTCTCTCTCTCTCTCTCTTTATCTCTCTCTCTCTCTCTCTTTGTCTCTCTCTCTCTCTCTCTCACACACACACACACACACACACACACACACGCAGTCCTTCTCAGATTCTTCCCTCCTCACCTAATGTGCCTCCATTTGGCCCTTGTTTAAAGTATTTCAATCATGTTTTAGTCCGTGTAACTATTACTCCAGTATTTTTAACACGATGTGTGACTAATGTTGCAATGAAACTCTAATACTGCAGCAACGTTGAAGCGTTTAAAATTGTTGCTCCTTTTTAAATTCCATTCTGAAAACAGCTCTTATTCTTGATGCTCTATACGGCTCATTCCTATGATTCCAGGCTCTTGTGGAGAGTTGGCATTTTGGAGTGGTTTCTCCTTGGTTATCTATCTGCCCTGCTTAGCTAACGCTACATGCCATAGGACACAGAATTTGGATTCAGACCAAGTCCAAAATGTTAACTCTATGACCTTAAGCAACCTCTCTGAGACTCCAGATCTTGGTAACTAGAAGAGAATAATAACCTCCTTACAACGTTGTGAGAATTAAGAAACGGTACGTGTTAAGCATGGAGGGTGTCCAGCTTCCTGGAGTCTTGAACAAAGAATTGGACAAAATGCTCAAACAAAGCAAGGAAGAAATGGAGGCTTTTATTGAAAAGGAAAGTACCCTCCACAGTGTGGGAGCAGGCCTGAGCATAAGGGCTGCAAGGCCCCATTACTCAGAATTTTGGGGAGTTTAAATACCCTTAAGAGGACTCCATTGTTTACTTGGGGTACACCCTATATAAAGAAAGAGGATGAAGTTACAAAGTTATGTACTTGGCCTATGCCCTATGGAGGATATTTCCTGTCATAGCTGACGTGTGAATCAGCCTTAGGTTTCCTGCCTCCAGACCCTATTTTCCTGCCTCATTTCCTCCCTAAGAGATGTGATCCCCATACATCTTTACGGGAGGCAGAGGGACTGATGGTCTTTTTTTTTTGTAACTGCTTCATGCTGGCTTGGGGCATAGTCCCTACTTACTGGGGAATCACAGAACTCTCCTTGCTCTATCTAGTGGAGGTCAGGTAGCTTCTTGATGTCTAAGGGTGGTGTCTTCACCTGGAACTGGCGGAAACCTTTGTTGCATCATCTCCTGAAGCTTGATGGTCTCTAGGTGAGAGGAAATGAATTTGGTTAAAAGATTTAATGGGAACTTCAGGGGGTGAATACCTATGCTGTTAGAAATGCCTGTTATAGAGATTTGCAGAAGAAAAGAAAACAAAACCTGGTCTCTTCTAGAATCTGTGCATTTCCTTAAAGTCTTAGCACAAATGACTCCGTTTTGCTTTGGATTGCTCTTTTGGGGCCTAGTGCATGAGTGCATGAGCTTAGCCCAAAACAATGACTTCCCAGAATTTTGTTTTTAAAATTCCCCCTTTTTGGTCAGGTTCTCACTTAGGTGAGAGTGTGACCAAAACTTATGGCCTTGGTGCCACTCTCAGTTACCATAATTTTGGGTTGTACGTTATGGTGTCCTCGTGGTTGCATGTTTCTTTCAGCTCCTGCCATTGCAGTTGAAGAAAGACCGTATGACAGTCTAGAGATGGCTGCGTGCAAGCATTTAAAACTTCTGAGAGAATACAACGTACCAGGGAGACTATTATTATGACTATTGGAAAGAAAATGCCAAGTTCAGAGTATGCTCCTTTTCCAGGGTCCCTAGAAACCAAACCACCTAAAATTAAATAGATTAAAGAATGAGCTAGATGAAGAGTCTACTCACTTGACCTAGTGGTCTTTTCATTAATCCCCTACAAGTGAATTATCGTAATCTGCATTTGACGTGTTTCTCCATAGGTCACAAGTGTCAGCAGCCACACAGGTACCTCTTTGTTTAGCCAATTCTATTATTTAGCATAACTTTCACAAGAGAATTTAAACTCTGTTGTGAATTTGCTATAGAGCCTATCACGAGGGATACATTTTTAATCATTGCTTCTTCTACTTTAAACTGTGAAAAAAGAACCCAACAAATGATGCCCTTCTAGAGGAGTGAAGACCTCCTGGCAATGTTCTCTTTAACTCATGATGTGGGTTAAGAGGAATGAACCAATGTTTTGTTTTTGACTGATGATAAGGCAACGTATGTACCATTAAAGTTTCTTACCTACATCGGGCCTTCATCTTTTATCTATCAAAGTAGAAGGCTATCCATGTAAAATGCTGGCTGCAAACTCCTTCACAAATAAAAGTATACCCCATAAGTGCAAATAACAGATCGCTTTTCCACTTCTGTTGTTTGTAGAGGGATAAGCAAGAAAAAATATTCAAAGATAAGAGTTTCATGGCAGTAGAAGTCTTGATCTGTGAACTTGGGAAAAACTGTTGATTTCAAGGATGCCATCTTCTTGGGAGAAATTTCTCTGGTTAGCTTTACCCCAAGGATTCCAATGGGTGCACAGTTCCAAAAGTGTGGAGGACCCT